TTTTTTTTTTTTCAGTTGTTAATAAGGGCTTATCTTTAGAATTAACAAATAATTTCCTTTACTGGCTGATTATAGCATTCAACAAAAATTTTATTGACTTTGAGCATTAAAAATATCATTAGATCAAGTGGTTAACCGACAAACGAATAACGGTGAAGGAAATGGACGATGGTCAACAAAGCAAAACCTTCTGGCTAATTTGATTCATCTTTTGATCTGTCTATTCAACAACTATAAATTTAACTGACCAGAAAGAAAAAACACAAAGATCGAAGCTAAATGAAGCGTTTTGAAGAATTTTTGAAACAAAAGCAAAGAAGAAATCAATTGACCACAAAAAGCTTCTTGACAACTGTTTTGACAGGTCAAAACAGTTTTTTTTTTTTGTTTTTTGTTTAACGTTTTTTTTGATAAAAACTACCAAACATTTTTTTTTTTGCTTTGAATTTCAAAGTTTTTTTTACAGAAAACATCTTTTTGTTTTTAAAAACAAACAAAACGATTTAAAAAAGAAAAGGGTTTTTTTTTTTTTTTGCTTTAATATTTTGAGGAACATTTGGTTGTATCGGCAAACAGACACACATTAAACAGTTTGTAGACAGTTGCAAAAAAAAAAAATTGATGTATAAAAAGGTTAAAGAATAAATGGGAGGAAAAAATGTGGCAAATTTTTTAGTTGAAAAAACTGTATTTTAATGGTTACCAATTTTAAGAGGCTTTTTTTTTCCATGTCTCAATTACGTTTAAAAAAGCAACTTTTTTAACTTTTTGTCTTTTAAAAACCATTTATTTATTCTTTCTTGTACTTTTCTTCTTTATTAATTTAGCAAACGTTAATGGTATTATCTTAAGTGGTTTTTTTTACAGATATAGTTAACAGCTGAGGTCAAAATTGTTTTTTTTTTTCTGCATCATAGAAAAAGTGTTAAAAGTAAATTCAATAGTTTTTTGCTTGTTTTCTTTTTTTGTTGTTATTGTTGGTGATGGTAGTGGTGGGGCTGCTGCTGTTGCTGTTTTTCCATACTCCATCTGGCAAATTTTAGTA